ATACCACATCTTCTTTATCCATTCATCTGTCGATGGACATCTTGGCTCTTTCCACAGTTTGGCTATTGTGGACGTTGCTGCTATAAACATCGGGGTGCACGTACCCCTTCAGATCCCTACATTTGTATCTTTGGGGTAAATACCCAGTAGTGCAATTGCTGGGTTTTGCTTCTAACAGTAAGTGTGTGTGTGTTTTCTAGGAACTGTATGCCTCCGCCTCCCAGGAGGTCACTGGACCACTGGCTGCAGCTCATCAGTGGGTGAATATGACAGATGTCACCGTCCAGCTCAACTCCACACACATGGTAAGTATCACTGAGTCACGCTGATGATGCCACAAGGGTGAAGCTCTGGGCTGATCTCATGGCTTACTTGAAGTTTAACGTCTGTTTCTTGTTTGTGTTTACTTTGTGTTCTTCTCCCCTTTAGGCAAAAACGTGTAAACCAGCACTGGGCTACAGTTTTGCGGCTGGGACAATCGACGGATTTGGGAACCTCAATTTTACTCAGGGTGAGGTTCTGTCTGATGAAATCTGTGGTTCCAGGTTCTGAAGGGTCAAATGGTCTCCGTACATTTATGATTTTTTACTATTATCTTTAGATTGGGGGGGTGTGCTTGCCAGGTGTGTCCATGACAGCCAGAATTCCCAGGGATGTGTGTCTTCTGGAACTTAGCTTCCACTGATTCAAAAAGAATCAGAGACAACTTCCCTTTGCATTTCAGTCTCAGTCTACAGATGGACGGTTTTTAATGGGTCTGGCGTGCTAGGGTGGAGTTGGGAGGAGTACAGAGCGGGATTGTCATTGTACCTTCAACAATAGGAGTTTGCTCTGTCATCTGCTAATGAATGCCTCTTTCTCTGGTTCCTTTACTGAAGCCCAAAGTCCTCAGGGCAGAGGCCTTCAGGAGCCCAAACATGGGCTGCGAAGTCCTCTTCCACAAATTTATAACTGATGATTGTAGGCTTCATCCTGATCATCTCTGTAATAACATGCACTGTAAGTAGAGAAAGTGGAAAAATGGACGAGTCTCACCTGTAGGAAACATATTGGCTTCTTTCATTCTTGCTTTTTATATATGTGTATTTTGGAACCATTCATTGACAAATTAATGAATACAGTTGCAGTTTGAGACATTCGGCTCATCTTTCCTGGTAATATTTCATCCAGGGTGGTCTAATTTCCTGGAACAATAATTTTTAACAGCTTTATTGAGATATAATTCACATACCATATGATGTATCCATTTAAAGTGTACGATTCAGTGGTTTTTAGTGTTTGCCAATATAGGTAACCATCCCCACAGTCAATTTTAGAGCATTTTCAACACGTCAAAAAGCAACCCTATACTCTTTAGCTATCACAACCCCCATCCCTCATCTCCCCCAGACCTAAGCAACCCCTGATCTTTCTGTCTCTATATTTTCCTATTCTGGACGTTTCCTGTAAATGGAATCATCAAATATGTGGCATTTTGGGTTGGTCTTTCACTTAGCATCATGTTTTCGAGGTTCATCTGTGTTGTACCATTTATCAGTACTTTGTTCCATTCTGTGGCTAAACCCTTTGACCCAGGTACACCTTAGCCCCTGACAACAATCATGTTACTCTCATGTCTATGATTTTGGCTTTTATAGATTCCACATAGAAGTGAGAACCTCCAGTATTTGTCTTTCTCCATCTGATAATTTTACTGTTCCTTTCCAATTTCAATGCCTTTTATTTCATTTTCTTGCCTAATTGCTCTGGCTATGACTTTTTTGAAATTGGGGTTAGGGGTTGCTGACGGGTTAGACATGAAGACACACTACCATTCATCAGAAGTCCTACTGAATAGGGATACAGTTTTCTTCCGAGAGAAACTGTTACATTTTCTACCAGAGAAATGGGCAGAGGCCTCTCTCCCTAGAACATGGCTGGTGAGATGTTACTCTCTGGGAATGCCCCCCAGTCTCTGCGAACATGCCCAAACAGGCCCAACCTGCTGTGTTCCTTTGCAGGGAGTAGAATCTTACTAATATGGTGGAAAGGGCTTGAGACAGGCACACCCTTCACCCTACAAACACCTTATACTAAAAGGAGAAGGGGGAGAAAGCACAAAGAGTTTAAGATATTTGAGTCCAGGTTTTTCAAATATGAAGCATTTTTAACCAATCCATTCTTAAATTTTTAGATTCTTGACATTATAGAACTGGAATTTATTAACACCTACTCTTACATTTCTTATTGGACAAACAAATAAAATTCCTGAGCCAAAAACCCAAAGCAAAACTAAAAACAGGGAAAAGCTTGTAAAACTAAATTTGGATCTCAACATTAACGGCTGAACAGAGAATGTTGGTTTTTAAATTCTAAGCGGAAGAGAAGTTGTATACTACATTGAAATAGGAGTGGTGAGAGTGGACATTCTTACCTTGCTCCTAATCTGATTGGGAAAACTTTCAACCTCTCACTGTTAAGTGTGGGTTTGTCATATATGACCTTTCTTATATGATGTACATTCCTTCTGCACCCAATATGTCCAGTTTTTAGCATGAAAGGATGTTCAATTTTGTCAAGTGCTTTTTCTGCATCTACAGAGTTGATCAGATGAGTTTTATCTTTCACTCTATTAATAGGGTGTGTCATATTTATTTATTTGCATATTTTGAACTACCCAGAAATAAATCTCACTTGACCATGGTGTGTGATCCTCTTAATCTGTTGTTAAATTCAGTTTGCTAGTATTTTGTTCGGGATTTTTGCTTCTATATTCCTCAGGGTTATCACCCTAAAATTTTCTTTTTTTATAATGTCCTTATCTGGTTTTGGTATCAGGGTAATGCTGGCCTTGCAAAATGAGTTGTGGAGTAGTCCCTCCTATTCAATTTTTGGAAGGAGTCTGAGAAGGATTGGCACTAGTTTTTCTTTAAATGTTTTATTGAATTCACTAGTAAAACCATCTGGTCCTGGGCTTTTCTTTGTTCAGAGGCTTTTGATTAGTGGTTCAATCTCCTTATTCATTTGCCTGCTCAAATTTTCTATTTTTTCATGATTTAGTGGTTTGTATGGTGGTGGTTTGTATGTTTCTAAGAATTTATACATTTCTTCTAGGTTTTCCAATTTGGTGGTGTAAAATTGCTCATGGTCGTCTCTTATGATCCTTTGTATTTCTGTGGTAGCAGATGTGGTGTCTTGTCTTTCACTTCTGCTTTTCTTTGAGTCTTCTCTCTTTTTTCCTTAGTCTAACTAAAGGTTTGTCAATTTTATTTATCTTTTTAAAAAACCAGCTCTTAGTTTTATTAGTCTTTCCTGTTGTTTTTCTGGTCTCTGTTTTATTTATTTCTGCTCTGATCTTTGTTATTTCCTTCCTTTTGTTAACTTTGGGTTTTGTTTGTTTTTCTTTTTCTAGTTCCTTGAGGTGTAAAGTTAGGTTGTTTATTTGTTATCTTTCTTTTTTCTTTTCTTTTATAAAAAAGATGTATTTATTTATTTTAGAGAGAGAGAGAGTGCAAGCATGGGGGAGGAGCAGGAGAGGGAGAGAAAGAATCTCAAGCAGACTCCTCACTGAGCCTGGAGCCTGATGTGGGGCTCGACCTCACGAGCCTGAGATCACAACTTGAGCCAAAACCAAGAGTTAGATGCTTACCTGACTGTGCTGCCCAGGTGCCCCTCTGTTTTTCTTAATGTAAGGGTTTATCATTATAAATTGTCCTCTCAGAACTTCTTTTGCTGGACCCATAAATTTAGATATGCTGTGTTTCTAATTTTATTTGGTTTGAGATATTTGTTATTTCCATTTTAATTTCTTCTTTGACCCATTAGTTGTTCAGTAGTGTGTTGTTTAACCTCCACATATTGGTGAATTTTCTAGTTGTCCTCCTATTATTGATTTCTAGTGTCCTCAGAAAAAAATAGCTGGTATGATTTCAGTCTTCTAAGTTCACTGAGGCTTGTTTTATTACCTAACATATGACCTCCCCTGGAGAGTGTTGTGTGCACTCGAGAAGAATATGTATTCTGCTGCTGTTGGATGAGATGTTCTGGTCTAAGGTGTGGTTCAAGTCCAACATTTCATTGTTGATTTTCTGTCAGGATGATCTGTCTATTGTTGAAAGTGGGGTAAAAATTCCCTACTATTATTGTATTGTCCGTTTCTCCCTTCATATCTGTTAATCTTTGTTGTATATATATATTCAGGTGCTCCAATATTGAGTGCATAAATATTTACAATTGTCATCTCATCTTGATGAATTGACCTCTTTATCATTATATAATGACCTTCTTTGTCTCTTGTTACAGTTTTTTATTTAAAGTCTGTTTTGTCGGATGTAAGTATTCTGCTCACTTTTGGTTTCCATTTGTATGGAATATATTTATCCAACCCTTCACTTTAAGCCTATGTGTATTCTTAAAGCTGAAGTGAACTCTTGTAGGCTGTATATGGTTGGGTCATTTTTTCCCCCCATTCAATCACTCTATACCTTTTGTATGGAGAATTTAAGCCATTTCCTTTTAAAGTAATTATTTAAAAGTTAGTACTTACTATGCCATCTTATTGTTTTCTGGTTGTTTTGTAGTTCCCTTGTTCCTTTCTTCTTCTCTTTCTGTCTTCCTTTATGATTTGATGATTTTCAGTGGTAGTATGCTTTGATTCCTTTATGTTTCGCATATGTACTATAGGTATTTGCTTTTTGGTTACCATGGAGGTTTATATAAAACATTCTATAGTTATAACAGTCTATTTTAAGCTGATAATTTAACTTTAATTGCATACAAAAACTACCCTTTTATCTCCTCTTCCCATATCTTATGTTTTTGATGTCATAATTTGTGTCTTTTTATATTCTGTATCCATTAACAGATTATTGTAGCTTTAGTTATTTTTAATACTTTTGTCTTTTAACCTTCATACTTGAGTTCAGTGATTTATATACTGCCATTATAATATTAGACTATTCTTAATTTAATTATCTACTTACCTTTACCAGTGAGTTTTATACTTTCATATCTTTTATGTACTAATAGTATCCTTGTATTTTAGTTTGAAGAACTCCCTTCAGCATTTTCTGTTCCATAATTCATGTAGGCTTTCTTCACTGTTTTTTATTTTTATTTTCCTCCTCTGATTGGATAATTTCAAATGACTTGTCTTTAAATTGACAGATTATTTCTTCTGCTTGATCAGATCGACGGTTGGTACACTCTACTGCGTTGTCATTTCATTCACTGTATTCTTCAGCTCCAGAATTTCTATTTTTTTTTAATGATTTTGTCTTTCTGTTGAACTTCTCATTTTGTTAATATGTTATTTTCCTGATTTTGTTGTGTAACTGTGTTCTCTTGTAGTTGTTGAGCTTTCTTAAAAAAATTATTTCGAGGAGCGTCTTGGTGGCTCAGTCAGTTAAGCATCTGCCTTTGGCTCGGGTCATGATCTCAGGGTCCTGGGAACAAGCCCCGTGTCAGGTTCCCTGCTCGGTGGGGAGTCTGCCTCTCCCTCTGCCTCTGCCCCCTCCCCCTGCACATGTGCAGACTCTCTCTCAAATAAAGAAATAAAATCTTTAAAAAATTATTTTGAATTATTTGTATGACAAGTCATAGATCTCCATTTCTTTGGGATTCATTGTTGGATAATTATTGTGTTCCATTGGTCGTGTCATGCTTCCTTGATTTTTGTTGTTTCTTAGAGACTTGAATTTTGTCTGTGCATTTGATAGAGCAGTCACCTCTTTTAGACTTTGCAGACTGGTTGTCGTAGGGGGAGACCTTTACCCATGGGTGTGTGCAGGGACATTGGGTGGGTGAGCTGTGGCAGTTCCAGACCCAGGGCAGGCCAAGTGGCATAGTCTCCATGGAGCTCTGTCAGCTTAGGTCAGCACTGGTGAAGACTGCATGGATCCTCAAATGCCAAGGCTGTGGGTGTCTGCAGCTGCCGTCGGTGCTCTTGGCATCTCCAGGCTGCTGCTGAAATCCTCCTGATCTCTTTCCCCACTGGGGGATGTCATGGCCCAGAAGCCCTCTCTTGGGGCTAGGTTTGGCTTACTGGGGCCTCACAGTAGTGGTGGCCCCGATGGCTGATGCACGAATGCCCATGGGTCAGTGACAGATCTGAGATCTGGAGCAGAGGTGCTCATAGAGCAGGGGCAGCTGCAGGGTCCAGGGCACTGGCTCTCCAGTTGTAGTAGTGACTCTGTGCCTGAGTTGTGCGTGCATGTGGAGCAACCATGGAGCTGGGATTGGAGCACATGTGCTTGCTGAGGACAGTGGCTCTGGGGTCCAGGATAGCCAGCAGTGGTGGTGGCTCCAGTGCCTGAGATTTGAGTACATGCCGAGCAGCTGCAGATCCAGGGTCTGGAGCACAGGCACACGTGGTGCTGCCATGACGTTGAGTTCTGAAACATGGGTGTGGATGGAGCAGATGGAGCTCTGGGGTCAGGGGCACACTTGGGGGTGGAGGCTGACAAACCTGGTCCCAGGGTGATACAGTAGCATCTTCTTATGGATGAGGAGCAGCAACATCTCATCCCTGGTGGGGGGGGGGGGCGGGCAGTCCATGGTGGTGATGGCCATTGGTGACCTCATTCATGAAAACTGCTGGTGTCCTCTGTGGAGCAGGCTGCTGGCGTCTGTGCCAGTGAAGACTACAGGGTCTTCTGCTGTGAAAACCACAGGAAGTCTGTCATGGGGGCTCTTGAGTGGCAGGGGCCACTGGGGCCCTCCATGGAGCAGACAGCTGGGCACTGTGATGGCACCTGCCATATGGCTGATACTGAGAGTCTGCACTTTTTTTTGTTCCTCTCTGTTTCAGCTAAGTTAATCCTTCCGGTGATCCTTTCTGTGTGATTATTCCGTATTTCGCTCCATAGGTTCTTAATTGGACTCTTGAGCCCTCCTGGGAGTATTTTCATTTGCGAGTAACTAATTGTGGTTTTCTGTGGGGTGACAAAGGCTGATATTTTCTACTTTTCCTTCTTGCTATGTCACCATCCTCTTTTTTCTTAATATGCACATTAAAGCTATAAATTTCTCTCTAAGCGCTTCTTTCACTGCATCCCATAAGTTTTGGTATACAGTGTCTTCATTTGCATTTATCTGAAAGCGTTTTCATATTTCCTTTTAATTTCTTCCTTGACCACTATCTATTTATGATCGTGTTGCTTAATTTCCACATATTTGTGAGTTTCCCAAATTTTCTTCTGTTATTTATTCCTAATTTCATTACTTTGTGGCTGGAAAACATACTTTATATGATTTATACCCTTTAACGTTTATTGGGGTTTATTTCATGGCCAGCAGAGAAGAGTGTCGTTATGTTCTTGTTGCATTGAGGGAGGTGTGTGCAGGTACTTGTTACATCCACTTGGCTTCTTGTGTTGCTCACGTTTTCTCTTGTTCATCTTCTGACTAGTTGTCCCATCTGTAAGTGCAAGTGGGTTATTCATGCTCCAACTGTTACTATTGAGTATCTCTTTCTGTTTTGGTTCATGTAGTTTGGTGCTCTGTTGTTAGGTCCATATATGTTTATAATTGTTATATTTCCCTAATGGATTATAGATTCTAAGTTCATAGGTTTCAGAGTTAACATAACTTTTCCCCAGATTGTGGTATTTAGGTGTGATTTTGTGTAGATAATTAAGTGGGGAGTTAAGAGAGGCTTTTTCTGTGGACCCCAAGCCAAATAATCAGTACTTCAAGTTGGAGTTCTCATTTTTAGTTTTTAAAATGGGGAAAAAAGTGATTTCATTCATAGATCTATAGTTAATTATATTGTATTATTTTTATTTGCAACGTGGATGAGGAAGAGCAATAGAAACAAAACTTTAAAGATGTTGAACAAGATATATTCTTTTAGTCTATCAGCCACAATGGGGATCTAACTAAATAATGATTCCTATTTTAGGATGCAAAGGAAATTTTGCCTCTTCTATTATTCGGACTGTTTGGAATTATTGGGCAACAATCTTAATAAAATCTTTGCAATAAAGGCATTGTTGTACATTTGTCAAAGTGATGGCATTTTTCAGAGGGTTGGAATCAAATTAATCCTAACGTTCCTAAATAGGGACAACAGTAGGGGATCCATTTTGGGACAGTCTTCGGGATCAAATCCTGGGCAAGCCATCTGCAGAAATCAAAGAGTGTCATAAACCAAAGCCAATCCTTCTTCATACTGGAGAGGTAATGCATTTTGACTATCATGGTAAAATTAGTATATCGTTATTTTAAAACTTAAGAATTGTCAGAGACAAATGATAGATCTTTGTTGACATGGGAATTTCTTATTCAAATATTCCCACATCAAATTTTTAATATTAAAAATATGTATGTTAAGAATCTAACTCTAAGGAATAAGGGGTATGATTATTAAATATTGTGACTTAGAATTTATGATAAATAACTGCAACAATGAAAACAGTAGAAAAGGAAGAATTCGATCAACATCTATCTTATTCAAGATTCATTTATGTTGACTCCAGGACAGGAGTTCACATACAACTCATACAGCTCTGCACAAAAAAGCATCCTCGGGTCATGTAAAAAGGGACATGTTCACGTCTCAATTTTCTCACAACTCAGACAACACGATTAACTAAAGCAATATTCTTTTAATACTCCTTTGGACCATGGATTTTCACATTCTAAATGTCAAAAGTTTGTGCCAGTGTTCATAATATAAATTATTGATGTAGAAAACATTTTTGAATAGAGTTTTTCCCCCTAATATTCAATTAAAATTCTTCAGGAAGAAGAAAGAGAGGAAAGGAAGGAACAGAGAGAATCTGACTATGGGAAAGGGTAGATTGTCTTGGAGAAAACTTGGAAAGTAAGGCAAGACTTGGTAACTGCAAGTTTAAAGTGCTATGAGAGTAAAAAGAGAAATCATTAAGTTAAGCTGTTCCAAATGTAGAATTAGTTATCTATCTTGCTAAGTGCTCCAAGAGAACCCTTGGTTACCTGTTACACATTGTGATTCTAGGATGCCAGATCCACCAAAAATTTCACTGATGAGAAAGGAAGTGCAGGTTAATGGGGCATTGGCATCTGAGATCCTTGTGCTATGACCAGATAGAATATTTTATACTACCTCATTCATTAGAAAGAAAATCTGTGATAGTAGGATAAAGCACCAAACCCAGCTGGAAACATTGTAAATCCTTTAATAAAGGAACTTTTCTGAGCATCATCTGTCTCTTGGCCATAGAAAGAACAATATCCCTAACACAGGTTTCATGTTTTGGGTTCTTAGTTGACAAAACCTCATCCCTGGCACCCAGATATTGTTGATGTTCAGATTATCACGATTGGGTCCTTGGCCATAACTGCCATCCCTGGGGAGTTGACGTAAGTTCTTCTTTGTTATTTTGTAGTTAAAAATGTAATCATTGTGTATATGTTTCTGTTGGAATAACTTCTTCTCATGGGTGATGATTCTGAACTGACTTCTTTGTATCTCACTCTGCCATTTTGGCAACACTAACAAATATTCCAACCCTCTTTTGGTGGGCTTCTGAAGAGTAAATCTTTTGATGTGTATTGCTAGTGGGTAAATTGTAGCAAACATAAACATTTGAAAAACTTATTCCAAATGTAAATGATGTTGTGCATTATTATGTCAGTAGAAAGAGTTGAAATATTATCAAGATTCAGATCCTTGAAACAGTTGAAGTATTAGAAGCAGGAAAGATTGTTTGAAATCTGCTCCTTATGCAGTCTTCCCTATCTTACAAAGTAGCAATTTTATATCTTTCCAGTTGTTCAGGCCCTAAACCTTGGAGTCATCCCTGAATTCTCTCTTTTCAATTTCCCCCACTGAAAGTGAATTTGCAGCAAATTCTGCACATTCCACCCAGCACTTTCTATCACTCCCTCCCTGGTCTAAGCCACCATGAGCTCTCCCCTAGATTACTGCCATAACCTCCTGTCTCACTTGCTTGCTTTCTCCCTTACTCCTCTGTAGTCTGTTCTCAACACTGCAGCCAGAGGAATCCCTTTAAAAGCTAAGTTAAATTAAGTCAGGGTCCAAATCCCTCCAATGGCTTCCCATCTCACTCCAGGTAAATTCTTAAACCCTTACAACATCCTACAAGGGCCCTGTGAGGTTTTTTCCCTCTGCAATCTCTCTGTTCTGATTTGATACCCCTCTCCCCTGACTCACCCCTGCTTCAGCCACCTTGGCTTCATTGCATTTCTCAGACCAGCAAGCCTGCTCCTGTCTTAGAGCTTATGAACCTAAGGTTCCTTCTGCCTAAAGCACTTACCCTCCTTTTATCCCCACAGCTGACTCTCTTATTCCTTCAGTTCTCTGCTCTGATCGTCTGTGAGATGATCTCTCACAGAGATGCCCCATTGTGCTGATGCTATATGATGCTGACCTCACCACCACCACCAACCACCGCCGCTGCTGCCATATTCCCACAGCATCAGCACTGGCCTCATCATCACAAGAACAACCACCATCACCTGTCATCCTTACCCTGCGTTATATTCCCCATAGCACCTACTGTCATCTCACTTCTTTTATTTGCTTGTTGACATCTTCCCTCTCTGGAATGTAAGCATCCTGTTGAATCCTTAGCATTTAGAAGTGGGCCTCTTCTGTAGTAGGTGCTGTGTTTTACTGAAGGATTCGATGAAGGAACAAAATGATAAATTCTTTCTGGGTAGGAGCAGTGCACTCTCTACTTGCCTCAGTTCTTACTGACATAGAATACAAACAGTATATTTTTGCTGAATCAATGAATGGAAAATGATTGTAGTCTTAGCCAGTGATATTCATTGATGCCTTTTCCCCTCCTACAAGTTGTTTTCAGTTTAGGATTTTTTTTCAAGATAGGACAGTTAGGGACAAAAAGCTCAAGTTTGGCTTTACATTGCCACAAAGCTCCTATGAACCTTACCATGTTGTGTTATGAGCCAGGATCACATTTGTCTCTCGCTACAAGTTCTTCTGTATTCTTTGCATATATTTGGAGTAGGAAAACCCTTAGATACGTCTGTTTTCTTGACTCAGGACCATGTCTGGACGAAGACTTCGAGAGGCAGTTCAAACAGTAAGTTAAAAATGAAATAAAATGTTTATGCATTTATATTTGGTGAAAAGAATTCCCTGTTCCTATGATCTGATACCTTTTAAATTAATCTTTGCTGAGATGACTAGAGTTTTACAGTTCTTGAAAGTAATGTCTAGAGCTTTATTATACCACTAAATATTAGTGGTATAAGAACAAGCTTAAAAATTATAAGGAACCTAGAATCAGGTTTAAATAATGTATTGCTATTTATATATTAATGATTTAAAAATTGATAATGTTTTTATGGATTAAATAACAAATAACCCTAAGTACCTTAGTGAAGTCCTGTCTAAATAAAATCTAACACATGTTAGGAGTTTTGTATTTTATCTGTATTTATTTATATTCAGGAAGCATTGCAAATGGTTCTAGAATGACATGGTCAACAGAGATCTTATTACTTGGAGTTGGAAATAACCACTATGGTTAGTTAGAATCCTCCTATTATACTTTTTAGGAAATGGATAAAATATCTGTATTTTAGTTATAAGAAGATTCTATATCTGCAAATGTAATCACTAAAATGTTCACAGATCCATTGACTTGCCCAACTGTAGTGTAGTTATGGCTCTAACTTTTCCTCAAGGACTATGAACATCGTGCTTCCTCATTCCCAGGCAGTTTTGATTGTTACGAATGATGTTAGGAGAGACACCCTCTACTACTGACTCACATCTATGATTGTATGTTAAATATAACTGGGTCAATAATATACATTATGATGGAGAGTAATTTTATTGGGCTCTACCTTTCCCCCACTAGGAATTTGCAACCAATGGGATGCAGAATATGACCATTGTTATTTCGGGTCTGTGCAATGTGTATACACATTACATTACCACCTTTGAAGAATACCAGGTAAAGTAAAAAGTTCTCGGCCTTTAAATGAACTATCCCCTCATCAAGACTGTTGTGTCAAATGCAAGTTTTCTTTCTAGACTTCCTTACTGGTGGTTTTGAGAGATGATTTTGTTTTGGGACAGAGGAGAGAATGAGAATAAGCCAGAGGTTGTATGTGGGAGTTCTAGGTTTGCCCTTTCCAAGTTTAAGTCAGAATTCTGGTCTCACTGATGACTACTTTTTCTGAAATAAATTATTTTGTCAAGAGTACTGGTCATAAGCCTGGGCAGGGGCATACAATCTTCCTAACTCTGTCCATGGTGCTTCTGGCACCTGAAGCTTCTGTAAACCCTGGGGAAAACTCCCACTGATAGCTACTATTTATTTATTTATTGAAGATTTTTAAAAAATTATTTATTCATGAGAGAGAGAGAGGCAGAGGGAGAAACAGATTCCCTGAAGAGCAGGGAGCCCAATGCGAGGACCCCGGGATCGTGACCTGAGCTGAAGGCAGACGCCCAACCGACTGAGCCACCCAGGCGCCCCATAGCTACTATTTATTGAATGTACTAGCTCAGCACTTTGCAAATGTTATCTTCAGTCATCTTCATAACAAGCCCTGGAGTAGGGTTTTATTATATCCATGACATAAATTAAGAAACAAAGTCTCCGATAATTTAGGGGAGGTAATGTTTCTTTGTTTGCAAATAGTGCAGACAGTAGCTCAAGTACTTTTTAACAGTAGTAGTTTAAAACACGGGAACAGTCTGGATACCCACAGTTCATGTTTGCTGATATATCTGCTGGCATATCTTGGCAGTCCACACAGAGGCATACAATCTACTTTTTGACAAATGTCCAGTGATGCCAACAGTGGGATCTGCCCTGCTGTCCTCTGTTGACTTTCCTGAAAGTCCCTGTCTTCTAGGGAATTCTGTCGAATAATGATTCTTAATTGGGGCAAACTTGGATGGGAATACTTTTCATTTATCCATGTTTTCATTTCTCTGTAACTGTTTTGTAGAATTTCCTTCAATTAGGAATGTAGGTAACAAACAACAATAATATTAGCAGTACCTCTGACTTTGTCACCAATAGGAACCACAGATACTTTTTATATCACAAAGAGTTATTGCAGATTTAGAATGAAGGGGGGGGAATTGGAGGGGGAGAAGAACCATGAGAAACTATGGACTCTGAGAAACAAACTGAGGGTTCTAGAGGGGAGGGGGCAGGGGGATGGGTTAGCCTGGTGATGGGTATTAAGGAGGGCACGTTCTGCATGGAGCACTGGATGTTATACGCAAACAATGAATCATGGAACACTACATCAAAAACTAATGATGTAATGTATGGTGACTAACATAACATAATAAAAAAAAGAGTTATTGCAGATTTGGAAATAACTTCACTCTCATCAGTCTTTTAAAATCACAGTAGTTATTAGATCTGCTTACTTGTTATTCAGTAAAGAACACAAACATTACTCGTTGTTCAATAAAGAAGAACAAACATTATCCTATCACAAAAATGGTTTATTTTTGTTTGATTAAATATATTTCAGTCTAATTGGTTTTCTTTGTCAACAATGTATTTATACGTTTAGAAACATTTACTCTGAGAGGGGTCCATAGACCTCAGCAGGCTGCGATAGGAGTCCAGGGCACAAATAAGGTTAGGAACCCCTACAGCTTCTCTCAGGGACATGCTTCTGCAAGGATTAATACTAATTAATTTATTTACTAATTCATTCAACAGACATGTGTTGAGACAGATACTGTACTAGCCACTATCTGGGCATAACAATAAGTAAAAATCTGCCTCTACCCTCAAGACTACTAGGGTTTATGATCTAGAGAAGAGCAGGTAATCACATTGCTGTAAAAGGGATTCATAAGGTAATAGGAAAACAAAGAGAAAGTGCACTAGTCTGTATTGGGTGTTTGAGAATGGAGACTGGCAGATTTTCTGAAAGATGTAACCTCTGTCTGAGTTCTTGAGAATGACTAGGGCTAGTTGGGGAAAGAAAAGTTAGGGAAGTATCCCATATTGAGGAAGCTATCCATGCAAAGGTCTGGGGGTGCTGAGTTAGTACGTTTGAGGGGCCATAATTAGTTGAGGGTAGCGAGACAGGGGCTAGTTGATAAGGTTGTAGTTGATGGAGCATCTTTTATGCTATGCCACAGAGCTTTACCTCAATAAGGAATGTTTTGGAAAATGGCAGTAGAATTCCAAAGTAGGAGTGTTCTGATCAAATTTTGATTTAGGAAGGTCTCTAGGATGACAGTGTAGAAAAATAAATTGGAAGAGCAGGTGTGGGGGCAGAGAACTGATTAGGAAGTTGTAGTTATGATCTGGGTGAGAGCCAAGGGTTTGGCCACAGTAAGATCAGGAAAGACAGAGGAAAATGAAAGAATTCAAGAGATTCCAAGTAATGGTAGCTTGGAGACTTCCAGGATATAGGATGAGGGAGAGGGAGGAGTCTAAGATGGCGGAAGGGTGGCATTCCCTGGGATGAAGAACGTTGCAGGGAGAGCGGGTCTCTGGAGTGATGAGTTCCACTTTAGATTTGATGAGTCTGAGATTCTTGTGGAACAACAGGAAGCTTGCAGTTCAGCTAAAGGAGATGTATCTCGTTCTATTTTATAGCATGTGATGGTTAAATGTCCTTCTCCAGACAGTACCATCACCCATCCCCCCTCAATTTCTCCAGGAGTTACTGAGACTCTCATTTTCCCTCATTTTTTCTTCTCTTGCTATGTTTCTTGAGGGCCAATGTTTCTATCACAAGTACTTAAGATAGACTTAAGCTTAGGAGCTATTCCCCTCTCTCAGATTAGATGGACTGACAGTCCAAATGGCGTAAACCAAAAGAACCCACTGCCTTTAGCAAGGAGTTAATGGGATCCATTCACTTTAGCTGGTAAATGAAAATGCCCACTGTCCTTTGTTATGATTAATTTTGAATTATGTGAGGTGTTCAATATCACACCCCTCCCTAAGATGTGGCACCTCTGTACATGGATGGAGATCTATAGAATGGTATAAAACCCAGCCCTGTCCCTCCTGCAGGCTCAGCGGTATGAGGCGGCATCTACAATTTATGGACCACACACTCTGTCTGCTTACATCCAGCTCTTCAGAGGTCTTGCGAAGGCCATTGCTACGGTAATCGAAACTCGTAGGCATGTGTGTCTCAGGGTTGGGGAGATGCCGAGAGAAGCAAAAGAAAACGTTAGCTTTAAATGTCCAATTTCTTTCAAAACCTTTATATTTAAAAAGTTTGTATCTATGAAGTATCTCTAAGAAATAAAACCATTAGTTTGCAGTTAACATCTCTTGGTGGTGACAAGTTAGTTCACATATATGATCTTATATTAGCCTCATGATCATCATGTGAAAGTATGGAGGTATCATTTTTTCCCCATTTTTCAGATGAACAAAGCGGTTCAGAGAAGTAAGTCATCAGGCTTACTCTAAGTCTCTCCAATCACTTCATGAGTTGAGTGGGTCATTCCTTCTGAGATGCCCATTTCCCATATTGTAGCATCTATGAAATGGGGATGCATCTTCCAATCAGAGGAATTTTATGATTATAATTAGTAGCATGTTTTTACTTTCTTGGTGGCTCAAAAATAATAGCAGTTGCTATAATCACTAGAGGTTTAGATGTGATGAAGTACAACTTTGGAACGTGTACACCTTGCATCAATCTAGAATACATGCACCTCAAAAAGTTGACTTAGAAGAACTCCACTTGTGGCCTCTTTCTTTGGGGGTGCAGATATTAATGAAGCTGACTCTGGCCTCAGCAGATGAGCCAATAAGCAGGATAAAAGACTTAAAATCATCAGCAGATCTTTATATAATACCATATAAGCCCCAATAAAGTCTGGGACACAATTACCACCTAGCACAGACAACAAAGCCCTTTCAGAGAAAGAGCTTGGTTATATCGAGTGGAAGCAAACGATACAGCTGCTTCTGTGGGTCAAAACAGTTGAATATTGGCAATTCCATATGACTCCGCCTAACTGCTGACCATATGAAGTTTCACTACAGGGTATCTACTGAGGATGTATTTAAATTGCTCGATGATTGTTTTTATCATTGCATTCCTCTCACTTTTAGGTCTGATCCTTTTTTCCTTTCCCAAAGTAGAACTGCTTTAATTTTCATCATAAAAGCTGTAACTAGTTATAGAATATTCAAATTATACAGAAAATTATAAACCTATAGCCCATCCCAAGAGATGGCCATTGTTTTCACTTACATTATGACTGTACATCTATGGTTCCTCCCAGGCAAATAGTCTTCAAGCTTTATCGTGATACGTAGGGAGAAAGTGTGATTCATTTTGTAGAAATTTGTGTCACAGCCAGGGTTATGGTTCTGTAGCTAAGATTAGCTATGTGATCTCGGAAAAAAACACTGAGTATCTCCCAGCTTATGTTCCCATTTGTGAAAGGGGAACACCAGCAAATAGGTGTTACGGCCTTTGAAAAAGATTACATTATTAAAGTGAGGATCAGTGTCCATTATGAAGGACCACTTAAAATTCGAGATTAGCACTGTGATGACACTATTAAAGGTGACAAATATTGTGGAAAACATAGATTAAATCAGTCAGGGCATACACTGACCTTAACTTCTAAGTTAAAAGTATATTATATTTTTGTGCTTGCTTCAGCAGCACATAGACTAAAAAAAGTATATTATATTTTTTAATTAGCACAGAGAAGGATCTAGGGGGGAAAAAGCTTGGAATTGACTCTGGGTAAGAGAGGCTCGACACTTTTTAAAAAAGAGTAATCACATTGTCATGGTACGAAGGCTTGCCATGTGTTAGGGCTCCTATCCAAAGTCACACAGTTGAAAAACGTCTGTCCCAGAACCTAAAGTTGTATCATGTCTACACTCTGATCCCTGGACTGCATGGTCCGGGAAAGCAAAAGTGTTGTCTGTGACCCAAACTTTCCTCTAGTGACAAAAGTTTAAATTGTGGACGTCTAGACTCATATTTTAGCAAAGTTGCCCCACATTTTGTTAAAATTCTTAGCTCTTGGAGAGAGGCTCTGTGTGTGTGTGTGTGTTTCCTTTAATGAAGGCATTTCTGGGAGGTGGGGGCCTGGGGAAAGGGGCTTTGACTCTACATTGTGTGGTCCGTAAGCAAATGCTCTCTGTTCTAGGATACAGTAGCCAACCTGAGCAGAGGTCCAGAACCTCCATTTTTCAAACAACTGATAGCCCCATTAATTCCTAATGTCGTGGATAGAGCACCAACAGGCAAAACTTTTGGGGATGTTCTGCAGCCCGCGAAACCTACATACAGAGTGGTAAGGCTCCCAAAGAGATAAAGGAATCCTCCAGAAGCCTGTATCTGTCTAATGTCAACACCTGCCTCTAATCATGCTCTACACCAGCTGTTAGCAGTGATGATTTTGACAGTTGTTCTGAACTCTGCAGACCCTCTGCAAATGTGGGAATGGGGAAATATTTATTTTTCAGGTGGTAATGATGTAAAATCAAATTTCTAAAATCCAAATTCTTCTTTTCTTCTTAAATGGATGGTCATGGAATCATTTGCTAGAGCTCAGAAAAGTCTCTTAAATCAAGGACAGGAAAAGCACGTAGCAATGAAGCAGGACTTGGACTACTACTATTTTATATTGATCTTGTGTCCTGTACCTTTGCTAGATCATTTATTAGTCCCAGTAGATTTGGGGCGGGGGATGTGGATTCCTTAGAAATTTCTACATACAGTATCATATCGTCTGTGAATAAAAGCAAGCTTACTTTTTCCTTTTTGGATTTCTTTTCTGGAGGCCTTTAATTTTTTTCCCTTAATGCACTGGCTGGAATCTCCAATACAATGTTGAAGACACGTTGTAAGACTGGGCATCCTTCTCTTGTTTCTAATCAGGAGGAGAAGAGTATTCTGTCGTTAAGTATGATGTTTCCTTGAGGATTTTTGTAGATGGCTTTAATCAAGTTGAGAAAGTTCCTTTGTATGCCAAGTTTTTTTTTTTTTTAAATGAAGAATGGGTATTGGATTTGTTTCAAATGCTTTCATGTCTACTGAGGCAATCGTGTAGGATTTTGTCTTTTATTCTATTAAGATAGTGTATCACATTAGTTGATTTTCAGATATTAAATAAATACCCTTTCTTAATGGTGTAGAATCTTTTTATTTATTTATTTTTAAAAAAGATTTTACTTATTTATTTATTTATTTGAGAGAGAGAATGAGATAGAGAGAGCATGAGAGGGGGAAGGTCAGAGAGAAAAGCAGACTCCCCGCCGAGCAGGGAGCCCGATGCGGGACTCGATCCCGGGACTCCAGGATCATGACCTGAGCCGAAGGCAGTCGCTTAACCAACTG